ATTCCCATGTCACCAACCAAACACAATGTTGAAAAATGTTTAGAATGAGGTCCAATACGCTCAAACTCCAAAATTGTATTATTTTTGACATCGTCAATTTCGCACTCTTCGTCAAACTTGGCATCATTAATAATATTTTGGTCGAATAGTTGGAATTCCTCTTTCCGCTCCATAAGTTGACCAGTATCCACCACAATTGGTTTTAGGGCATCAGACGCCTCAACCTTTTTATTCAATTGATCGTGCAGGTCATGGATATCTAAGCCAAATTGGTATATCTCTTGCCTGAGCTCAGTTCTTTCGTCTATCAGCTGTTCTGTCATATTTGAAAGACCATCACGAAGAAACCCTTGAGATTTTATCAGTTGAGCTTGTTCCTCTATCCAAGATTGGCTCACTACATTTGCTTCTTCAAAATTTTCTTCTGGTGGGAACTCTCTCTCTTCAGCCACTTCCTCCGCCTCAGCCATCATTCTCATGATTGCTTCACTAATTCTTTGTAAATCCTTTCGATTTTCATCTTGTTGCTCGGCTACTTGCCTCATCATCATCTCATGTTGCTCGACTACTTGCCTCATCATGTCCATAATACGAGCCATACTTTCCATATCCTCCACTTCATTGCTCCCATCAAACTCATAAACATTATTAGAAACATTATAATAAGAACTCTGAGAAGGATAATAAGAATTAGGACAACCATTCCAATGGTCACCTTGACAACCACACACATCACAAAATTTCCACACATCAGATTGAGATGCACAATTTTGCCCTAAGTGTGGTCCTCCACAATATGGACATGGATCACCAAAATAAGAATAACCAATATTCGACCAATTATCATTCCAAGATGCCATATCAACAAAGATAGTAAAATATTAAACTAAGATAAAATTAAAAAAATAAAATAAAACTTGAATAGGCAAAAAGTAAAAATCCAATCTAGTAAAATAGTTAATTTCCAAAAACTTGTTGCTCCCAAACGCACACGCAAGTATACATGGTCGACAAGTAATATAGGATTGTTAGTCCAGATATCGTACCCACAGGGACTTGTGATTAACTATCAACTAAATTAAACCAAACAATTAATCTATTCAAGCAAATCCTAAAGTATGAATATTTAACTAAAATTAATCTAGAGTAAAAAATTAATAGATTAAAGAAAACAAGTTGGTGAATTATAGAGACGAATTCAATATGAGTGACTATTCTAGAGCTATGGGTTAGCTAACAATCCCGTTGAGTTTTCCACCTAAATTGTCTAATTAATTTATTGATTGACGAGGTTAATATTGCTCGTAGCCTTCTCCCGAAGTACAACTCGCCTATTCAAGCTAACCTAAAGCCTATATTCCTATGGAATTAGGATTAACAAGAACGCATTTATAATTCCCGTATAATAACCAAGCAAGGCGATTAGGTATATTCCTATCCTAACCGCAAATCCGCTCCCCCTAAGAGTTAAGATCTTGCTCTACTCAATCTTATATGCAATCTAGAATTCTCTCTCCCGAGTTCAATCCTAGATTCGTAGATAGTATTCAATTGGTGATCAAGCAATCAAATAATTAAGCGCAAGATTGAATAAATAAACCAATATGATAAAATAATAAGAACAATTCAAGCTTCAAACTACAACATTCATGTAGCACCCAAAACTCTAGAACTAATAAACTATGAAATTAAAGGAAGAGAAGAGAAGAAAAACTAGTTGAAAGCCTCCTCCAAGCGTGGTGTGTGTTCCCCCACGTGAATTCTCCTCCAAAGTATGTTAGATCTCTCTAAAGTGGCATCCTCCTCCTTTCTTGGCCGGCTTCCTTCGTTTAATATAGGGTCTAGGGCTTAAAATCCCGTGTTTTGCACTTTGGTCCCTGAAGTTTACGCGTCCTGCCGCGGTCCTACCGCGGTTACGCCAAGACAGCGGCCAGAGTGGCCTTCAGAATCTGCAGCAGTGTTCTGCCACGGTCCTACCGCGGTTACGCCCGGACAGCGGCAGACCAGCTTCAGTTCTGGTTTTGTCCCTTCGCTTGGTGCACTTTGTGGATATTGTATGATTGGCCTCCTTTTCTCCGTAATTGATCCCAAAAGTACTCCACAGACTTCTTTTATTGGATATAGCCTGCAAAGCATGAAAAGCACTAATCAGAGCATTTTGTTATCACTTTTTACCGTAAAAGCTATACAAAAATGTGGTTCTTTAGGGCCTAATTATAGTCTAATTTACCTATTATGACCTATCATCACACACTCTTTTTAAACATTTAATTATATAATTATATAATATAAGTATTATGTATCATTTAATGATTATTCCATCGTTTCATTTGGTTTTATATATGTAATAAGGGTAAGATGCGTAAAAGTTCATATATTTTGTTAATATTCAATTTTATGTGTTTATTCCAGTTGAACTGGTAAAATCTAAATAGAATTTAGAGTTCTAAATATTACTTCTATCTACTTCAAATAAGGAAGGGTTCAAAAATAAATTTTATTTGATCTCAAATTCCTAAAATTTAGGCACATAATTAAATGACTGTTATAAATAGAATTTTATTTATGGTGAATGTCTATATTTAGGGACTTGGTGGCTAAGTCACTCTCTCCCTATAAATAGAGGGGGTTCTATTCAATTGTAATTCATCCCAAATCAATAAGAATTCTCTCTCTCTACTTTTCTCTGCAATACTCTTCTTCTTCTTTTATTGTTTTATAACACGTTATCAGCACGAGACTCTAACCAATTGAGTAGAAGCTTTGGGATTGAGCATAATGATTGTCAATTATTACATGAACTTCCTTCATGATTAAATTCTGGATTTAAGGTAAATATTTTATCGTATTTTTCTCTTTTATTCTATACTTTGATTTTATATACAAGCAAAGACAACAAAGTTTGATTATAACTCTAATAGAGTTTGTAAGAAATTATAACCACCTGAAGTGGTAAAATTTCTATGTCTCGCCATGATCAAATTCATGTATGATTGTGGGCAAAGAATTAAAAATCCGTCCCATTGAATTTGCTCCATTCTCATTCCCTTAAGAGAATGTGATAGCAGTATGTGATAAGTCTAAAAGAAGACAAAATTATTACTATGAATGTATCAATGGATATGGATGAAGAGATCTCTATGTTATGTCTTTATGAAAAATAAGGAGGTTGGAACCGATATAAAATGTTTGTCGATGACATCTATAATAACGCTAAATATATATATGAGGATCTTAAGTCAAGAGAAACAATTCAAATAGAATTGGTTTCATATGAAAGCCATGTAGTTTTGAACATGCAGTTCAAACACTTGAAAGTATAGGTCAATGGTATGTGCAATCAGTTTTCGATATCTTATATGTCTAGCATGACATAAAAACTTGATATGCATCTAAAGTCTATTATATGGCTTATATAACTTAACAATCCCTGAAGGATTTAAATTGCTTAAAGCATATAGAATTCATGGTCATGAAGTACTACATCCTCAATGCAATTTGTGCACAAATGTATCTTGCTATAACTATATGCATGATAATATGATAACAAGAGTTTTCACCTCTATGTGAAGATATTGAACTGACGATTCCAACAAGATCATATGAAGACAATCCATCTCTATCAAGAATGATGATTTCAAGGTGCAATATATTTATTCAAGCTAATATGGCTGATTTGTTCATCAAATCTCTATCAAAGATCTTTTGAAGATGGTGCACAAGATTGAAATGCAAATGCTTAAGGATGTGAAGTGATGCTCTCATGAGGGGGAGGTTAATACGCGTTG